CACTGGGAAAAGATCAGGATTTTAAATGTCACATTGAATTTGTAAAATTATGCCTAGCAGCCCTGATATCATTGAAATATTAGAAAAGGGTCCTGATACGCCCCGGTTGGCGGAACACTGAATTGGGCACCTCCGCTGCTCCGCCGCGTCCTCTCGGCGGGCGTATCATCTTGTTGCGCTACATCTTCCCCTATTTCATTCCTTACTTGTTAGTTCTTTCACTTAATTTCATTTCTTTGAGTTTCATTTTTCTTCCGCAATTTTTCTAGGTGGTCAGTTCTGTATATTTACTATGGTTTAAGGTAACAACATCTTTTTTGAGATTTCTAAAAGGTTATGAAAATGAAAAAATCAAGAGCGTATATTCAATCAGAATTTTCAAAAGCAGTGTCTTGTTAATAAGACTTTAAAGGAATCTATACTGAAGTAGTAAACATTAGAGTATATATTTTATGTCCTTCCTGATAGTTTGGCAAACTTCAATTTACAGCTGTTTACGTTAAAACAATGCAGCCTTGATAATAAAATTTAAGAAAAAAAGAGGTTTAAGTCTTTGTGGTTTTTTAAGGGTAAAATAGGCATGGCTCCTTGGCATGGGGCGACAAATTAAACCTCTTCTCCCTCATCCTTGCCGTGACCAATCTGAATTTTTAGTATGCATTAACCTGGTATAAGATGTGACTTTTCTGAAATTTTTATGCCCATACAAAATTTCTTGCCCCCGCGACAGCGTTGCCAAGTTGCGGACTCAAAAATATCGAATTTGATAATAAAATGAAGGTTTCGAGGTGTGATTTCTTGCAAAACACGGAAAATGTGCAATCTGAGAGTTTTCGATAGTAAAAAGCATATTTGAACAATTTAGAGTTGCAGTGTTGCCAGCTTCACGATTTAAAATTCGTCTAAATGACCCGAATCGCGTTGCAACCTCAAGGTCTGGATTTTTATTACGTTCAGAATTGGTCATTACGGTTCTTCTGTACTCTATGCATTTAGGTACCATGAAAATTATGCCATTACTTGCTTGATGGGTGCAGCTGACTCAAAAAGAGAAGCCGGATAATGCGATGAGTTGGTGGAAAACTAGTGGTTCGGATTGACAGAAAGTTCTATTTATATGACACAAAGTTTACAAAACATTTAAAATTTCGTTGTCTAGTCTACTTTTGTTATGAGGGAATTTATATTTCAATATAACGCAAAATTATTGTGATAGTTTGCAAATTTTTTATTCTTTAAATTGTTGAAGGTAATTTTCTGGATTCGAACTATCCAATCCGCTACGAGAGGAGGTCAAATTCAGAAACTTTTAAACGTTTTTTGATTCGTCGTTTTCCACTCATTTTATTTGTGTTTTAATTTTTCATGTTTTTGGGAAAAATTTGGGGGCAAGATTGAAGATAGAATATTCAAAGTTTTAACAGCAACAGGGATAAGGTTCGGGGAGTGGGAGAAAGTTCTCAACTTCTACTTTCTGTTGATGGAGTAGATTTGAGTCATTTCTGCCAACCCAAACCGCTCGTTTTCCCCCGAATCTTCGCTTTATCCGGCCTCTCTTGTTAAGTTAGCTGCACCCATCAAGCAAGTAATGGCATAATTTTCATGGTACCTAAATGCATAGAGTACAGAAGAACCGTAATGACCAATTCTGAACGTAATAAAAATCCAGACCTTGAGGTTGCAACGCGATTCGGGTCATTTAGACGAATTTTAAATCGTGAAGCTGGCAACACTGCAACTCTAAATTGTTCAAATATGCTTTTTACTATCGAAAACTCTCAGATTGCACATTTTCCGTGTTTTGCAAGAAATCACACCTCGAAACCTTCATTTTATTATCAAATTCGATATTTTTGAGTCCGCAACTTGGCAACGCTGTCGCGGGGGGCAAGAAATTTTGTATGGGAATAAAAATTTCAGAAAAGTCACATCTTCTACCAGGTTAATGCATACTAAAAATTCAGATCGGTCACGGCAAGGGTGAGGGAGAGTGGGTTTAATTTGCCGCCCCAAGGCCAATTTTGCTATTTTACCCCTAAAAAATCACAAAAATGCGATTATTTTTCCAAGAGCTCCGACAACCTATTTCGAAATTGCCCAAAAACCCATCACGGAGTACCCCACCACACCCTTTAACTTGAATTTTTGATGTACATTCAAAGGCCATAGTAAGTGAGTTCAAGCGCACCGTGACCTAACATATCCCATTGACTGTTTTCCGAGACCCAGTCTAGCTATGGTATAGGAAGTCGCTCTGAAGGGTCTCAGGATGTGTAAATGGTGTTTGTCCTCTAGATCCCACCCTTTTTTTCTTCAAGACAACCACCGCAAATATTCCTAACCCTACACCTAATAAATCCTACTCTTAAAAAATTGTACTAAAAGTCTCTAGATGACTGTAGGATCCTCTACCTGAGTAAAAGCCAGTAAAATAACAAGAAGAAGAAAAAGAAGCTACAGGTTGCATCGCGTTCGCAACGAGGTGAACGCGCGTGCATGGAACACGACGGAATATTCGAATGAAGTGTCTGAGCTGCACTCATATTTTCACACATTTACTTATTAATTGTAAGATGACCATCTGTTGAGAGGATCAACGACCAACTTTCATAAGTTTAATGTAGTGTGAAATGTAGTTTTTTTCTTCCAAAGTAAGGACTCATTTTTGTTTTCGTTCGAAATGCCCATCACTCGGAAAGACACCTCGGTTTATTTAATTGGGAACTATTGTCAACAAATTATAGGGAGTAAATTACCTTCAAATGGCGACGCATTAAGAATATTATTATTCAAGCAGCTAAATTTGCGTCAAAGTTTTAAATTGGTAATTGAGGAAATTCTTACGTTTTGGAACAAAGCGCGAATCCCTACCAAGTTTTTTCTGTGATTGTGTTAAAACTGGAGGCACTTTAGTGTGGTACACCGATTCCTGTGTAATTGCACTTGTAAAATCGATTTTTAACGTCGGCGAGTCAATGTATAGATTGGTTTTATTCTTCTCGGTAACCAAGATAATAACTTAACTTAATTCTTTTCCAGACATCATGTTTTTGCCCTACTTTGAAGGTAAAAAAATTATTCTTTGAAAAAGCCAAAAAAAATGTCTGTCAACATCATGTGAAAGTACGAAAAAAGTTGAGTTACTTACTGTAATATCAGATCTCTGCATGAACATTAGCGTGCGTAAGCGATGCGCCAAAACGTGATAGACCGCGATATGCAAATTTCTATTTTCGCATATCGTCTTTTCAAAAAGTTAAGTTACTTTCCATGATTTCAGATGTTTAGATAAATTCCATCATGCCTTCGGCGACGCTTCGAAACGCCAAAAAGCGCGATTTGCGGAAATCGAGCTTGCAGGCGTTCCACATACAACGGCCGTTTTTTTCGATTTTCTTTTTTTGGTCTTCCTTTACACACTAAAAGGAATCTTTTGCAGGGTTCTCCCATTAAACATTCGAAAAGGTCCTTTTTAACGGCCACCCTAAAATCTTTATTCACGGGAACACAATTCCTTTTAATATCCCAATCAGAAATTTGACCTTGGGCAGATTGAAATAATATTGTGAGCAGATTTTGACAGTAAGGTCGGCCTGAGAATCTTGGTACAATACACCATCAATACTGGATATACCTTAGTATTTTAATATTGCACCAATATTAGCAATATTAGAAATCCAACGTCAGGTATCGCTTGCTGATTCTAAGATTGTCACTATGTTGACACAATATTGGTTATACAATGTTGGTAAAATAATACTGTCATAAAATTATTTTTTTAATATTGCAGTAATATGGTAGTTTTAACATTGCCTCAATATTAAAAAAATACTGACCATAGGCTTCTGCCTATAATATTAGGAAAACAAAATTGCTTAAATAATATCGAGACGATGTTATCTCTGTAATACTGTGGTAATATTATTATGTTAACATTCAAATAACGTTAGAACAACAATCATTACAGGCTTCTGTTCGTAATATTGTCATAATATTAACACAATTTTGGATATCTAAAACTGCTGATTTGATATTATGCTAACATTATTTTTACAACATTGTGGTAATATTCGCACTTTAACATTGTCACAAGATTAAGAAAATAACCATTTAAGGCTTCTGTCTGCAATATTGCCTTAGCATTGGCGCAATATTGGGCAAACAATATTTCTGAAGTAATATTATCTAACATTATTTTTCTCATATTGTAGTAATATTCGCATTTTAACATCGCTACAGTATTAAGAAAATAAACATTTTAGGCTTCTGTTTCTAATATTGTCATAAGATTAACACAATATTGTGCGCGGCGAGCACAATTCGACCGCGTTTGCTAATTCCGCCACCAGGGCAAAAACTGCGACCTTTTGCTTTTTGACGTAATAGGCACATGATCCATAGGCGCCTTACCCATCTTACCGATATTCATAGGCCAAGGGCTCAAATGGAGCCTTTTGGCAACGGTCCGCGCGCGGCCGCCCCGTCAGTGGGGCTGGTTCTCATTTCGCCTGGGCAGTGCCCGTTGAGGAATCCAATTTAAGTGCTGAAGCCAGTGAAAACAGTTAAGGAAGTAGCTGGCATAGGTAGGTTCCTCGGCACTCCTATGTTCCTCGGCACTCTTATGTTCCGTGTGCCTACCTTAGGCATTGCGACCAATACGACGCCAAGAAATTCCTTCCGCGAGGATGGCAGGTAATACGGCGCTCTATCACCTACCTTGCCTCAGAGATAAGACAAATGTTTAACCAGTATAGAGGCAATTCTGGTACAGCAAGTTTAAGCCATCATTATGATCACAATATTGGTAGAACAAGCTTGGAATAATGTTATTGACCTAACATTGCCACAATCTTGGAAATCCAAGCTTGTCTCAGAGGTAAAATAAATGTCCTGCCAATATTATGGCAATATTTTTACAACAAATCCATGGCAACATCATGATCACAATATCCGCTGAACAAGCTTGGAGCAATATTATTAACATAATATTGTCACAATATTATTAACATAATATTGTCACAATATTGAATACCAAAGTTTGTCTCGGAAGTAAAATAATGTCCTACCAATATTGGGCTTGGAGCAGTTTTACAAACCTAACATTAGCACAATCTTTGGGCTCAAGCTTGTCTCAGAGGTAAAATAAATGTTCTGCTAACATTGTGGGAACATTAGCAAGATAAGCTTGGCAACTACATTCAAATGTGAAAAAATGTCGTAACAAGCTTGTACCAAGGTCAAATTTCCGATTGGGAAGTCTTGTTGAGCTACTCACCCACTGTGGGGGAAATAGTGATTTATCATGAATTTTATCCCAGCACCGCCTATTGATTTGATGATGGTCCAATATGCTTCGGAACCGACGTCTCTCCCTACTTTCTTTATGATCATGATCGCGGTTTTATATGCTTTTGAGATTTTCAGCTTTTCAAATACTGTCAAATTCTCGTTGATTAGAGGTTTGTCCAGTAACTGTTCAAGATTATGAGAAGTGTTGTGAACAGATACGGTGTCTACCTTTGCAATATTAAATACATGTGCAATTTCTTTATGGATAAATACGATCTGATAGGCTGGTTCCTTATTCAGAGTGAAATTGCCCAGCGAACGGTGGTCGAAGTCAAGACCGGCGAATAAAGACCTAAAAACGTTTATTAATTCTTCTAAACTCGCCATTTCGTGAAGCATATATATAGGCTCGCGAGTGTTGAAACGATCGGATATAATTTTGTTAAAATCAGATGCATTATCATTTAAATTATAAAAAGAGTCAATAAAGCTACCATAAATCCGCTTTGTTTGATCCAATTCACATTTGAAATTGCTGGTTAGATATTCTTTTAATTCCTTATTCGGAAGTCGCAATGAGTAGTAATTTTCTGATGTTTGCATGTCCGGTTTTGCATCGACATACCCGGCATGGGTCATAAGAGTCCAATAGGACTCTTCTGTTTGTATCAGATCCTCAAATATTAAATCGTGGTAGATTTTCTTTCTTAAGGACCGTCCACTCAGCAGAAAATACAGGTCCAGCATACCGAACTTGCCTGAACACTTAATAAGGTGTTTGATCATCTTCAGAGATCCTGATATTGCCCAGTAATCATGAAACACACCATTATGAATTGCTGACACAACAGCATACGGGTTGAATATGACATTACCGGCAAAGTGGTAGCCATCATACCACTCTTCAAATCCTTCAAATGATAAGTTTGTCCCCGAGGAATTAATCAGCCATTTGACCTCGTGATCCAAAAACCCGAAGTAGGGTCCAAATTTAGTATCATTAAGAGTGGTGTAAGCCATGAAATTCGAGAGATCAGAAAAAATTGAAGATCTTGCTAAATATGTGATCCCAATTATTACACCGCAATCAATAGAGAGTTTTATACCACCCTTGAAAAAAAACAAGTAAAACTCTCGCATCAAAATCAAAGTTTTTGAATACAATTCCCCAAGAACCAAAGGCTTTCCCTCTGCAGTTCCAACTATTGCGTCTGCAATTGCCAGATGAAAAGGCGCATCGTACTCGTCGATTAACACAGCTATTTTGTAATCGTTAGCTTGAAGTTTCCTTATCATTAGGGAATATCCACGCAGAAGTGTTTGAAGGCCTCCGTCCTTATTGCGTAAGTAATCTTTTATCATTTCTTCTTCCATTGGTTCAAGAAGCCGACCGTACTTGACAAAGATTTCGAGTAGATCATCTCTTAGGTATGTAAGGAATTTGTTTTCAAACTCCAAAGCCGTAGTGGCGACGGAGATACACAGCAAATCAAAATGAAAAACAGCATACTTATGCTGATGTTTCATCCTAATTTCTTCGAACTTTCTATCGTTCTGGATACTGAAACCTGCAAAAAGGTTCATTGCTTCTACCTTTTCATCCTTGGTCAGGAAGGTTTCTAGCATAGATAAGTTAACGGTTTTTCCAAACCGACGGGGTCGCGTAATCAGCTTCAGTTTAGGTCCTGTAAGTGCCTCCCCGATCCATGAGGTCTTGTCCACGATGAACCTGTTATCCTTGACCATTTTTGGAAATTTATCGTCTCCAAATGGTACCCGCTGCCTCAAGTCATGGGGATGAGCCTGAAAGGAAGAAGACAATTTATTAAGGGCAAGTAAAGAGCAGAGGGGCCAGGGCCCCTCCCCACTACAATTGAAAATGGTATCATATGGCAACCCCCCCCCCCAGAAATTCTGGATTGTGGGAAAACACCTTCGTCGAGGATGATTATCTCTCTTGTAGAGTCTAAATTGAAAACGCCGTGTTCATTCACTTAGTATTTTCTAAAATTTTCACCATGGAGGCCTCAAAATTTGTCCAAGTAGAGTTAAAATTTCAAAAAAATTCCGAATCTATTCAACGCGACAATTCGGGCGCATTATTTGCTGAAATTACGTAAAAATAAACGTAATTTTTCGGCAGAGATTGATGAAACATCTGCATCATGAAGCCTCAAAATGCGTTCAAAAATATTTAAAATTTAAAAAAATTTCCGGGGGAGGCTTAGGGTCGACAGTTTTGAAACTTTTTTCGAATTTCCAAGACAGCTAGGGCTAAAAAGTCGCGTTTTGGCATAAAAATAACGCTCAATTTTTTTCAGAATTTTTGGATGAGATTCTGAGCCCGTCCCGACGCCATCATTGTTGCCAAATTTTCGATTTTTTCGAGGAATTGCCAGGATTTGGTTTAAGGCCCGGCAACGCGTGGAATTAATCAAAATGGAATATAAATTACTTTTAATATCTGTAAGTACCTACCTAAGTAGTCGTCTAATTTTGCATGGTGTATACGGAGTAATTTTGGAGATAATACATTTGAAATCCTAGGTCTCACCTGACTCAAAGCGTTTGCTGCTAATACCAAGGAGTGTTCCGACTCATTTATCGGAAAATTGACCGTTTGCTGTTAGCCCGGCTTCTTCAATTATGAAATTAGTCAAAAGATCTTTTAAGAACTTAAATTAATGACCCAAGTTGGTGCTTTGTGCCAACTATCACACGATCAAACGCCTTTTTACAAAATCTACAGCCCTTCTCAGTGAACTCTTCGTGTGATCAAAGTGCCCACGCTACATGACGCGTAACCCTTCAATTTTGAGTTTAGTCCAAAGATCTTTTAGGAACTGAAGTTAATGACCCAGGTGGTGCATTCGTGCCATCTTTCAAAGAATTAAAGGCATTTTTTCAAAATCTACAGTCCGTCAAAGTGAGCTCTTCGTGTGATTTCGCGGAACAAGTGCCCTCGCCTTGTGACCAGTGTCCCTTCAATTTTGAGTTTTGTCCAAAGATCTTTTAGGAACTTAAATTAATGAGAAGTGTGCTTGATGCCCACTCTTAAAGAATTAAAGGCATTTTTCAAAATTTACAATCCTTCAAAATGAGCTTTCCGTGAGGTTTTGCTAAGAATCGACCTTGATTCCGAGCCCCCCCCCCCCAAATTTTAGCGTACCCCAAAATCGTTCGACGTGCATAAGGAGACCATAGATATGTTCTTCCCTGCAATTTTTGAATGAAATTTAACAGATAGATTCTGAGATATGGCTGTACACAGATTTGGGGGACGCCGGACGGACGGACACACATTTTTTCAAGTATGGTTATTTTGACTGCAGGGACCTTAAAACGTATAGAAATGATGAAATTTCAGCTTTTTTTTCCTTTTTTTTTCTTGGAGGGTGACAATACTACCCCTACCCTAGGGGAGCGAAAAAGTAAAACTTGGATACATTGGTACGTTCCAGAATTGTGGCATGGGTGACAGACCTGGCCTTGCCAACATTCATAAAATTGTTAACAGAGATGCATTTTTAGGTTTCCGTTAGGTGAAGGCACTTAATAAGCGAAATAATATGGCAAGATTCAGGAGTTTGTCAGGCGCTCTGTCTGAAATAGACGGAGAATACGGCATTGCTGGAAAGTTGTAGTTATGTGTGAATATCTTTCAGTATATGATTCAATGATGATTTCAAGAAGGGGTCCTCTTTTCAACGATGATACCTGTTAATGTAGATGCAAAAGAGACCTTTAAAGAATATAATCACCCTATCACCCACCACCTTTGTATACGACCCATGCCAAAATTCTGGGACGTACAAGCGGGATCGTTATTGCTGTGAAAAAGAGTTTTCCGCAACCCGCCATACATGACTCAGTTGACCACAAGAGATTACTCGGGCCCGAACTATCGCACCTTCTCCGACCGTATCTCTCACATTCTTGCGTTTCCCTCATTTCAGCGTGCATTAAATTGCGATTATCTGGAATACACGATCACACGTCTTTTCTGATCGAATCCGTCGCGCACTTAACTAATGGGGAAGACAAGACCTGTCTCACTGGGTCAACTGTCATCGGTTTAATTTCATTTTGAAGAGGACTTCAGAAGACCAATCGCTCTTGGCGCTCTGGCCTTGCTGATATCTGGGCGCCACACGGTGGATCGAGTCAATGGGAGGGGTCGGTCATCGCGCATCACGCGTCTTATTTTCTCTGATTACAGAGATTTCCCGCCCTTAGAAGAGAGCAAATTACCCTAACCTAGTGTACTTTTCGTCGTAGATTCCATTTTTGAGCATATTTCAGCCAAATAATGAATTTTAATACGATTTTGACACACTTTTTCATGACTATTGAAAATTTGATCCTTGATAGCGTATTTTAAGCGCTCAGCCGATAGGCAGCGCTTTTTGATTTCGACTTGCCTCTAGAGTAATAGTATACTAGTGCTAATTCGTTTAAGTGGTGCACCAGCTCATCGATGCGTAGGCTTTTTTTTTTTGGGGGGGGGGGATAAATAAAGCTGTGATAACCGTATTTTATGCTTTTAACGTATTGCGCGGGTAGTTTCGATCGTTTGTCTATAAGAAAATTCCTTAGCGGTAGAGTAATTCTTATCGAAATTGATTGTTGAAGCTGAAACAAGATTACCTAATAAAACTCGCCTGATGAGCTCAACGGTGGCTTGCATTTTCGGGAAACGAAAAAACGCGTTTACATATAGACAATATTGCGCTCCTTTCATTACTTTACTAATGTTGAATATTGTTCCCAAGTTCGGGTGTGTACGGCGTGTAGTATCACAAGCACCTTGCGTCAGTGTCACTCTCATTGGTTTTCGGTGTGTACGGCGTGTAGTAGCACAAGCACCTTGCGTCAGTGTCACTCTCATTGGTTTTCAGCGGTATATCAAATCTGAAGATTAATTTACGTTGACACAACTCATCGCCAGTTAGTGTCTCTCTTCATCTGTGAATTCCTCTGTGAAAGTTCCATTCCTTGGTTTCCTTGGTAACCTTTGTTTGCTATCAGCTGATGTTTTATTTCCATTTCCCGGCCGAGTCGACGGATTTTATACTTCCTTTCTTCACTAAATACGTAGACTAACACCTGAGCGCTTTTCTAATACGACAGTATTAGAACTTTCCCACTTGTTTCACGTTACTTTCGGCGAATGGGACCGTAAGCGCCTTACATAGAGAAGAATTTTACAGGACTTGACTTAAAGATATTACCTAAGGAGTAAGGGAAGGCGGCTTCACAGGCCCCTCACTATGAATATTGCCACATTTCTTTCAATTTCTGCTAACATCGTTTTTTGTTCATGTTCATTGGTTTCTCGCAATTGCATACTGACTTATATACGGAACATTCTGATAATGTTCATTTTTCTTCTCTTTTTCTCCAGCCAGTCAATTGACGTTTTCATTTTTATGAACCCCCTACTCTTTCAGTTATTCAACAGATATGCATATTTCAAAAAAATAGATCAATAGGTACATTTAAGAAATAAAAAAAAAGAGATGTATATACTGTAGCTTTTTTTTATCGAGTCATCCTAGAAGATGAGTATACTTACAACAAGATATAAAAAATTGAATGTGCAGTAGAAAAAAAAAGAAATAAATAAAAAACACGTATATATCATATTCCATTATTCCGTTTTGTTCCTCGAAGTTTGGAGTGAAGTTTGAAACATTTTCATTGAAAAAATATTATAAAATTGGAGGAAATTTATTTTTCATGCAAGTTCTGATCCCTTGAAGAACCTCTGAGAAGGACCAATGTCTCTTGAAGAAATTTCTCGTATTTCTTCTTTTTCAACCCACACCCGATTTTTTATTTGTATGGAGCTCATGGAAGAGTTCTAGGTATGTTGAAGACATTTGGCAAGAAACGTGGCATGTGAAATACAGGGTGTCCCAAAAGTCCCTTCCACCCCCTCTAAAATTTTACCTAATCAATATTTTGAAACGAAACTTTGGGGATGTTTATCGATCAATGTTAGCTACTTTTGGAGCCCCCCAAAATTTTCGGGCCCCCCCGTGGGGAGGGGCTGCGGACCCCAACTTTTTTTCTCAAATAGCAACCCCTATCTTGTGATACCTCATTCGAAAGAGCATAAAAAACCAAGAATTTTGGCGCAAACTGCAAATCAATATCTTAATTTTTGACCGAGTTATGATAGGTCAAAGGTCAAATTTGACCTTTTTTCAAAAAATCATAACTCCGGTTCAAAGGACTACGTGCAAAACGGGCCATTTGGGGCTCGGGGCGGAAAGCTGTGAGACTTGCCCTATTCATTCACCTAACAATGCCCGATCTTTTCCCAAAGTTTCAAGCCCCCCAAAAATTTTGGGGAGACGCGGCGGGGGGTCAAAGTACAAAACCGGCAAAATTTTCGCGAATTTATTACTCGAAAACCAAGAAGTTTTGGAAAACGCGGTTTAAACGAGCGTGTTCAGCGTGACGAGAGCTTTCAGAAAATGTATAACATCATAGGGTTTTGTCAACTTCAGCTCGAGTTATCGCCTCCGAAACGCCGGAACGCTCAAAAAAGACCCCTTATTTTTTCACGTTTGGGCCGATTTAAAAAAAAGCCATTTTTTTATTTTGATGAAAAACTGATATGTTGTTCCTGACCCTCTGTAGCCCCTCTGGCTCTTTACCGCATGCTGGGGAAATGTTTTGGTCGCGAGTTATAAGAGCGGAAAGGAGCGAAGGTCGGAAAAATCGGCTATTTTAAACTGCGCGCGCGGCGTTGATCGGAGGGAAAACGTCCCCTCCCACTCAGTTCGGCGAACCAC